TATATATATATACATGCATACATATACATATATATATATAAATACATAAATACGTACAACACTTATAATCGCGGATTAAACAACCGTACGATATTTTTATGTTCGTGTAACACCCGAGTTAAAAGTGAATATATAAGCAACGTTTTGTTCGCAATACATTGTCTTCAGGCCCTAAGTGAGCTCGTACACACCGAGTCTTTCACAACGCGGGTGATCGAAGCAGCAGGTAAATCTCTATCGTCTGACATATTTGTGGACTTGAGTTCTAGTTACACTCACAAGAAAAGTATTAAAGCAGAATTGCGTTGATATGTTCAGTCTAATAGATACTGACTTCCCACTATACATACATTGAAATATGTACTCTTTTTATGTTCTATATATTTTACAAAAAAAAAATTCATGTTTGTACATAATACTAAACACGATGGCGGCACCGTGTCATCGGTCGAAAAATCGAAACAAACGCGCTAAATATGGCGGTCATATTTTGAGAAATCGTTCAGCTGAAGACCTGAAGTACATGGCTTCCCCGGTTGACCAGGAAGGGCGGCTTCGGCCTTCGTGTCTGGGATATTTATGTATGTATTTACTCTTAAAAGTATGAGAAGTCCCCCTCATTTACCAGTTCATATACACCGAAAGAACGAGTACGTCACGGAAAAGATTACTAAAGATACTACCAAGTACCAACTGGTCGGAAGTCTCATAAAATATCTGCCTAGAGTCATCGTAGACTCACAATATCTAATTTGCAGTTACGATGTTTGCAGGCTGGAGGAAATTAGTAGGTGCTGTGCATACAAACAGACCAATACAACGGTGCCTGTTGCACAGGTGAGTAATTTGAATAAGTGTACGTGCAAATGATATCCCTGCATTTAGAAGTGCGTATATAGAGCGAATCTATGCGATTCTGGTGTCAGGCATAATCTCACTATTGATAGTAGATCATAGCGTGTCAACCCCGTGTAGTATAACTAATAATATGTATATAGAGCTAGACAGATTGTGACTGAATGCAAGGAGAGTCTCAGTCGCTAGTCTGCTTCCCATCTTTGCCCATTGCCCAGCTCCGGTTATATGCAGCAACAGTGTTAGGCTGTAGCTCGTTGAACATGTATGAAGTGCACGTAAACCGTCTGTCACCGAAGATCTAAACCCCCTTTCTTGTAAAAATTTCTCTGCAGCGGAAAATTGCGCTGCACACTTTCCCCTCAAATCACACAGTTAATCCGTGGCAAAGTGAAGGAAGTGGAATCTGAAAAGGTATGCCTGGGTTGCTCGCTGATTTACTTTTCACTTGACTACTTCTTTCTGTAACTGGACACGCTTGTTGAGCCGCGCAGGAAAATTGGTGATCCTTCGGTTGTTTTGAAACACTGTCGGCTTTCGTGTATGCTCAAAAGTTTGTCCTTTCGCTTCTACAGCAAATTGGCAAACGGCGTAACCTGGACGGCAGTCCTTGGAAATTGAATCTGGTCGCTAAACAAATCAGAGGTTTACCTGTCTTAGACGCTATCAACCAGATGACTTTTTCCGGGAAGAAAGCATCTCAAGACGTTAAAAGTGTGAGTTGCTATTTATATCACAATTTTTCTCTGCTGCTAGTTGTTCTTGAATTGATAGTACCATACTACTTGAATGCCCTGACACAATAGTATTTGATCCTTCACACATGCTTATGTCCTTGTATCCGCGTCTTCGTAGATTAACTTGAGTATTGAGTGTGTTTGCCATGGTGTAAGTTCAGTCGTCAGAACGCTTGAGACTTCTAAAATCGTCGTGATGCTGATATCAGTTTATCCCGTGTATCTCAAACTGCGACACCAACCATGTTGTTCCCGCTCGCGTTGCGCGCTGAACAGCACTTTATTATGGATACGAGCAACCAGCCGTTGCGCACATCAATCGCCTTGAGAAGTCTTCTGAGTCAATAGATTAATTTGCTATAACGAGCTTGTGTTTACGTGCCATGTCACGTTCGTGCTTTACGTTCCTGACACTCTTTGAGTTGCGCAATACCGGTGACTGGATTTTTATATGCGTACCCTGAGTTGTAGCGTCATGAGATAATTTACGTGACGTCTCCATTTTATAGGTTGACTGCTGGGGTTTGAGCAGTCTTTGCAGCATAACGTTCGTGCTTAGAAACGAATTGAACGAGAATATTTTTATGCTAACTTTTGAAAACTGTAAATTATTATTATATAGGTACTATATAATACAATGCAAGCCGCTAATCATAACAAAGGACTGGAAGCGAAGAATCTTATCGTGTGTAAGTCGCGCTATTTTACATTCTTTTGCGGATGTTTTTTTTTGCAGTGCAACCTCTAACGCGATTTCTCTAACTCAAGTTTTTAATTTCCTACTTCATTGTTCTGGTGCTAATGAATGTATTGTCTGATTACATTGCAGCACAATGCCACGTAGGAAAGGGCACTTATCGCAGGAAGCTTCGATATCAAGGCAAGGGAAGCATGTCGCTGATGCAGATCAAACATTCACACCTTTATGTGGAGTTGAAGGTGGGCAATATACCGATGTGTTGCAGTTATTTTGATCAATACGTATTATTTTATTCTACTTTGATATATATTTAAGATAAGTATCTGACTGAAAACCTAATTAAATATCCTCACGTCCAGATAGTATTTATTGTAATACGTTTACTGAGTAGAAATTCCCATCTTAAATTGTAGGAGGGAGAGCAGAAGAAGAAGCGCGAGACGCGAATGATGCGGCGGCTAAAGAAGCACGAAAATGCACGAAAACCAAAGAAAATACGATCCGCTCTTATGTGATCAGGTGGTGCCACAGTTCGTATCTGAATAATAAAGCTAGACGCGAACGTCAAAAGATACTTTGTAAGTGTGCGTCCTTACAGCAATTATGTTGTAGACTAACCAGCGTCTACCAGCTTCTTGGTATGTGCAGAGCGATATATTTAAATTATTCCTTTATTCGTAACTAGCATATTGCACAATCTTCCTCTCGAAGAAACAGGCCAGCCAAACTTTCTTTCGTTGTTTTGGACAGGATTTGTCGTCCTCTCAATCTATTCGCTCGTTTTCGCCTAATAAAACGGTTATTGCAGCGATGAGTAAGTTCCCAAGAAAAACCGATTCTGTAGCTCAAGTCTTTTACAGAAAATAGGTTTAAACTAGTCGTTCAGAAAAATCGCTTGAATTTTATAAAAAATTCCGTGACCGTGAGAAATCAGCTTCAGTAGATACACTGCTCCACGAGTAACGAACATTAGAAACAAGATACTTGCTGAGATAAAGATTGATTGGTAGCACGGTATCGTTATCATAACACTCGTGAAAATCTAACCTTTTTAGCGGCAGGCTCTGCTTCCTCCCTCTTCTCTGAAGCTGTGTCTTCCGGTGCAGAGGCGTCGCCGGTAGAGAAACGCGCAGCACGCTTCAGTCTTTTCTCTTCAGCTAAAGCATGCAAATATTGTTCCGAATTCTGGAGAAAAATTAAGAAAAGGGTGAAACTGGAGAGAGATGGAAATTCTGATGTGCATAAATTTTTATCAACTCACAAATTAAATCCGCAGCTCTGATACGATTGATATAGGTGTGGTGGTGGAGATGAACTATCGCATAAATTTTCAGAGTCGTAAATTTCTCCTCAGATGTTCACGACAATAATTAGTGTGTTCCACGAGTCAGAATCAAGGGAAGCACTATGGGAAAAGATGATAGGGTACGAACTCATTACTATCTTACACGCAGATTCTATTCAAAGAAAAACGCAGGAGATATGTTGTCGTGTATTGCGCGATGGAATCACTTACGGTTGTTCCAAACTTTTCCGATCTTTTCTTGATAATCTCTACTTCTTCCAACGTCAATTCTTTCGTCTTGTTCTTAGCAATAGGCCTCTTTCGAGTGTCCTTCGAATCTATAAGCGATCAGCATTTAAAGAGATACATATGAAGCGAAAATTAAGTTTATATCGGGTAGAGTTCGTCGGACCATATCAGCTACTATTAACGTATGCCCCAGACAGCACACAAAATGACAAAAACAACTAGGAACTTTTATAAAATATACGGCATTTTAGGCATTCAGTTGGTACTAGCCTTCTCTTATCAGACACCTAGCGTGAGTAGCAGAAATAGTCCAATCGCACACGAAACCATGAGTATTCGAGTATTTACATGTATCTACTCTTAGCTTCGACGCTGCCTATTAGTGACGTTGAAACTCGTGCAAGATACTCGGGTTAACATAGGAGTAGCCTAAACGGTCCACAACAAAGGTACACCGGAAGACAAATCGATTGTGAATCATGACTCACCTTTATTCGCGCCAGCTTTGGTCGTGGTTGCCGTTCCAGATTTCTGTATTTGAACCTTCTATTTTTGACAAATTAAAATGATGAGTAGGGATGGTATTCTTTTATACCAGTCGCATCTGAACTAAAAACAAAAGGGGTTGGTCTGACTCGCAAGGTGCATTTTGCTATAATAATCGGCTAGTAACACTCACCGTGTCGTTCATCGGGATACCAAATCGAGTGGCCCTGGCCTTCTTTTTTGCTTCAAGCTCTGCAGCTGACAGCACTTTGGGTGCTGTGATACGAGTGGAGCAGTGTGTAAGAGCACGAAACAAGCACTTTCAAATAGAACAATAACATATGAACAACACTATACACGACAATGAGATATGATCAATTGACCTGAAACTCAGCTATGATTAAATAAATAAGCCTTCCTCATGTCAGTTAGACAGTGGATAGTTGCAATTCCATCGAACGCATGTCGTATCAAAAATCATTATAAATCGAAAACAAACAACCTTAACAATAATAATGTACGTACCATCATCTTCCAGTTTCGTGGTTGACGTTACAGGGGTCGCAACTTCCGCCCCAGCGACCGTCTAAGTAGGGAATGGAAAGACGAGAGGGTATACTATTGAATAGAAAGCGAAAAAGGTTCTACATCGGCTAAATTTTGCAAAGCATCGCCTTTTTTTCTCGATTTCTATCTTGTAGAACGGGTATGTCAAGTATCATCTACATAGTAAAAATATCAGTGTACACAGTTTAACCTGAGCACCTTGCACGAATTTCTGGAAATCGTACGATTGGCTTCTTAAATTCAGTTGTGTCAGCGAAAGGACCGCAATATGCGCACTGCATAGAAATTACAAAGACCTCATATACTATCAAACTCAGACTCCATATTGCCCGTATCATATATCAACAACCTTTGCTTCCTCTGCTGTCGCCATATTCGTTGCAACTTGAATCGTACTTTCACATGATTTTACATCTTAATATATTGTAAAAGTCGCTAATTCTGTAAAAAAATATATAAATATTTACAAAGTTATGATTCACTTCAGCTGCTGTTTGCCGGGAAGCATAAATTGCACGTTTAGATTGAACCTTCAATTCATTTCGAAAAGAAAAATAAGTACCGAACATTCAAAATAAAACCCAAGACCTTAGGAATAGCAGTGATGAACCATAGCCAACTGATAGCACTGAACTCATGACTTGAATGACCCGGCTCGCATAGAAGGTACGTGTGCTGGCCAAGCTTGAAAAACAAAAAGCCCGGGCTATCTCTATTGGCTGATAGGCGCCGTTTTGGCGGGGGCTCTGTTGACAAACATTGCTGCAAACAATCTGAATCGTGTGTATATTCATTTCTCAGCAGTGGGATCGACCGTTTCAATGAGTAGTCACGGAGGCAATGAGTAGTCACGGAGGCGCACGTAATAATAGTGGCCGTAAGCCGTCGGAGAAAACTTTGAAGTCTGGTGGCAATCTGAAGCAGGCTAAAAAAAATCGCGCATGTTCTTTACGCTTGCGATATCACACATTTTGATGACTATTCTATAACTTTAGTGGATTCATCTGCGTACGATGAATCAAGTCGGTAGCAGAATTGAAATAGGATCGTACATACTGATACGCTTTGCAAAAACGAGCATTGTATGTACTTGGTCAACGTTCAAACCACCATACTGGGTTTCAACAATACTAAAAAGAAGCAGAACTATGTCTTTATATATGGA